TTCAAATTTCACATATGAAATCTTTATAATGTCCAGATAGTTATCAAACATTTCTTAAGAAAAAAACTTTATATTTGATCTGTTTTTTTTTGTAATTGATCTCTGTACAGGTTCGGTAGATTTGATCGACCTCATAATCAGCATAAAAAATTTGAAAATAAATATAAATTTTGCCTCTTTCATTCTAGAATAAACACAAATTATAACACGAAAACATAAATGTTTGGACTAAATAGCTTAAATCTCATAACATTGTACATTTATATATATATTTATTATTTTTATTATATTGACCTTTCAGCCGTGCCTGGCTAACAAAACAGAAGTCAGAATGATGCGGCTTATGTGCTGTTATGTTACCATATCAAATAACATGAAACTGACCTTTGGTCTGTACAAAGTAACTTGTTTTGGCTGTGTTTTACTAGACTAGTATTTTGTAAAATACAATCACATTTCAATCATTATACATTATATATGTGTTTAGATTATTGGTATTTTGAAATAAATTCTTAAACTTATTTTTCTTAAAACATTGAACAGTAACTAAAGAAGTAAAGCAAACAATTATCTCTTCTAGTTACGACCTTTGTACTTGGCTGCTGCTTGACATAGATTGCTATACCTTTAAAAAAATTTCAAGTGGAGGATATGAAACAAAATAATTTTATTGGGGTTTTATATATACAGTTGAGTAAATAAAAATCATAAGTTACTACATCATTACCATAGAATTTTACTATAATTTATCAAGCATGGTAACTAAGATGTATTTTAGTCTAAAACAATATGAAATTTTGAGCAAACTAAAGACACACCCTACCTTGTTGAAATATTGATTCAAAAGAAAGAAATGGTGCTAAGCCCGTTAAAATTGCTGAGAAAGCCACTAGGGAGACATTCAGAGCTTCTGATTGGTTATTCATTCATATATAGAAGTAAGTGTATATAAGAGACCATTTACAAAAATGGAAAGAGGTTGGTGTGGTGCCACTGTGTTTGATTTATTACATGAGCAATATCTTAGCAAATTGAAAAGATAAGAGGCTTTTATTTTTTATTCTAGCTTGTCAATATTGGTAATTTCAGTTTCTAATTCATACAAAACTATAGACTTAGTATGTTGACTTCACAAACATCTAATTTGAACCAGTGCTGCGTTCAACATACCATGTGACACACAAAAATCTATGTTTATCTGTGTTATTTAATATTTGCTTTTAAATGAAGAAATTGAGTAATATATAGTGCTAAACTTTGAATTATAATCTACAGTTTCATACCAAAGTTATTGACATAAATTCATAAAATAGCAGTTCAATAAAATTTTTAATGCGAGTCAACAAACGAGATGACATGGCCTTTCACCTGTGACCCGTCATGAAAGGGTTAACTGTCTTTTTTCCCATGTCTGCCAGGTAGATTTGCATGCCACTTGCTTTGAGGCAATTACCCCCTAATTTCATGTGAATTGCACTTATGCATGATGGTGTCATCATGCAACAAAAGTTCTCTACTAATAGGACAGTAATTCCCTCTGTGCACTAGTACTTGTGCTAATTTTATTCTTGATGAGACAAAAAAGAAAGGTTCATCATAAATGTGGAAGATGGGTAGAAATATGTGGAGAGGCGAGTTATCATCTCGGAAGTTAACATTTTCCTTAGCTGAAAATGTACATAATCAGATATTGGTTTGAACAAAATACTATGTCAAGTGATTTGTATTTTGGCTTTCTTTTTCTCCATTCATATAAACACATGCATTACTGTATGCTTATGTGTTTTTGGAATTGAGACACAGAGGAAAATTGTGGGTTGGCATATACATAAGCCATGTGTGTGCCTGTCTGTTTACAACTTTTTTGTTAATGTTATTGCTTTGGAATGTAATTTTTGTGTACATTTTGTTACATAATGTTTTCTTTTATATTTGAAAAATTACATTAAAAATACTTACTCTAGTCAAGTAAACTCAAGTGGTATATGTGTTTCTGAACTGAGGCATCCATAAACGTTAGTAAGAAGTAGTAGTATTCTATTTTATTTACTTTAGTTCTTAAATATATCTAGGCTAGAACTGTAAAACATTTGAAAACTAAACAGACTTAAGAAAAGTAATTTCATAATATTATGAAGTTCCTTTAATATAAACGTTACTTTTACCACTTATTTCTAATGTAAACACTTTGTTGTTAAAGTAAATACCACATTTGTGAAAAGTGCAATTTAAAATTTTTTAATAGAAATCATCATCTAAACAGTAAGCTTTTGACATCTGAAAGAGGTTTTAAACCTTTGAGAGGAATAGCTAGACCCTTTTTTTTTGTTTAAATGCAAAACTATACAGTTGGCTATCTGAACTGTGCCCACCACAGAGATCAAACCCTGATTGTTTGTTTTATATGCCTCAGGCTTACCACTGCACCATTGGAGGGAAAGTAATAGCTAGATAAATCTATTTATATCTCTAATCATTTGACTTTTTGAATCTTTTACTTTTAAGATAAATCATTAGTTTGTACTTTGATGGTATAAAGCTTCCTTTTTTGCTAAAATAATTCCTGATTATTTTAATTAATTATACTTTTAATGTCTTTTTTAAATATTTTCTGTAGGTATTTGACCAACACCTAAACTTCATCACTTTAGAAGATGATCTTTTTGTTCTCAAACATCAAGACAAAGATAGCATATCATATTATGGTAAGTTGACATTTTAATCCTTAATTTTCAGAATGTTTCAGTGCAAGTATATAACTCTTAAAGGCTAATAAATTTGTAAGCTAATAAATGAGCTCTAAGATATATATAGAACTACATATCTGTTTTCTCTGTGTGAGTATATACAGAGTGGTGAAAAAGTGGGTGGCATGATGATGATAAAAACAAGTAATGACAATTATTCTTAATTTGCAAAGGGCCCCTAATTTAGAAATTTAAAACTTAATAAAGATATTTTGTCATCAGATCATCATTGTGAAGCATGAAAAGTGAGCCTTACTGGTCAAAGAACCAAAATTTATTTGAGACTAGAAATATATAGAATAGTGACAGTAAAGGTAAAACTATAGATAAATTTGGATTTGTTGAGAAAAATGCATCTAACACAATATACTTGTGGAGCAAATCTGTTGTTGTTTTCAGTGAAAGAAATTACTAAGAAGGATTGAGAAAAAATGTTGTTACTTAATGTACTTAGAGAGTTGGAACAAAAATAGAAAGAAAATTTGTTAAATTCTTCCCAGACACAGGATATAAACCAATTCCAAGTAAAGAGAAAAGTGATATGGTGAACAGCTTGTATCGCTTACGAACCACTCAATTTATCAGGTTACACTTTTGTGTAAAAATGAAAGATTAAGTGAAGCTCTTCTTTGAAAACATTCAGATATTGGAAATCCTGAAATTTCTCATAGTCATAACATATAACAGTTTTTTAATTATAAATAATAATATATTGTTACTGTATGGAATGTGACTGTATTTAGAATAATTTAAGATGTCTATGAGAAATGTTTTCTGTATGCAAGTACAGAAAAATGAGAACATTTAAGGAAAAAAGCCTGTAATGCTGAAGGGAAAATATAATACATGATCTAAGATGATATCTTGCTACCGTGAATAATTGTAGAAGTTTTTGAACATAGTTTTGTTATTATAAGTAAGAAGAGTAGCTACATTCTCTCTTTGAATGATGAATTGTACACAAAATAATTTACAGTTTTTCCTGTTTGGGTGATTACAGTTTATGTTTCATCGTATTTGAGTGAATTGCTACAAAGGTATGTTTTAAAAAAACAACTTTAATAGGTAATAATAATAAAAACTGTTTGTTACTGGCAGGACAGAATGAAGAACTCAGCATTTGCCTTTATAATCATGAAAGTACAGTTGGTGATTAAGGATAAGTTCATATGCAGACAAAATAATTTACTACATTTTTGGTATTTGTTTTAATAAATTAAAATTTGAATACACCACAGTGAAAACTGTGTATTCTGACACACTTAGAAATTGTACTTATTGTTTCCAGGGAGTTACTCTCTTTTTTGTAGGTTTATCTTTTGGCAATTGGTTTTGAATACATTTTTCTATTCTATCAAATAGTTTATAATTTTTTGTTAATTTTAATAATTACAGAACTTGATACTGATGTGAAACTAGCCAATTTAACAATGAAGATTTCTTTATGTACACATGTAAAAGAATAGAAAATACTCATATGGAATGAAACTATACATTTATTGTATTTTTCTATGTATTTTCAATAGCATAAATATATTTCACAACAAAACTCAACTTGCAGTATAGGATTTATTGGAAAAGCTAGTTTTTTTGTATCAGTTTGTTCAAACCTTCAGCAATTAGCTAAGATATACAATTCTTCAATTGCAGCACTCACATTAACATGATACAATTGCTTAAACTTATTTCAGAAGCTTTTAGTGTTTCCACATAGTTATTATGTACTTCATCAACTGGAGGCACATTTCCAGCTGTGAAGTTTTTATATTCCAGTTTATAACATAGGTAGAAAAATTATATTGCTAGGCGAAGTAAACTCGCAGGATTCACAACTGAGGAATTGTGATGTCATTGAATTGCATTACTTTCAGTAAACCAGTTGCTTTGAATTTCCAGTCATGGTCATGTCTTACTTCATTTTAAGTGATAATATAGTTTGTCATTTTTTATGTTCAAACTTTATAAGTTATAGCTTTGTTTCAGGGTTGAACTTAAAGTAGAAATTACTGTCACTACTGAGTTGAGGGTGAGATTGTCTCAAAAGATTATAAACATTTTACTACTCACCAAAATTAAAAACATTTTTTTTTATGCACTTACATGTATGCAGCACTCACAATGAATGTACAGTGTGCAAGCAGAGGGTTTCATAAAGTGGAAGAAAGGCCAAACATGGCCTAGTGGTTAATGTGCTAGACTATGAATGCATGAGTTTGTGTTTCATGACTTATTACCACAAAACCATACTTCTCACTTTGAGGCCATGGGTTGTATCACAAGGGTGATGGACAAATCTCTATTGATTAGAGCAGCCCAGAGTTTGGTGGAGAGTGCTGTTGATAGCTGCCTTCCCTCTAGTCTATTAGTTGAAAATTAGGGATGGATTGCAAAAGTAACCCTTTTATGCAAATATTCAACACAAACAAGCAAACAAAACAAAAGTTAGAGAAGTGTGAGTACCCTCTTGTCTTGTGAACATATCCATTAATTGAGCTGTATGTTTTTAGTAAAGAAACAAACTGTCTTTGTGTTACTGCTAAACTTGTGCCCAGTCTGTTTCATCAACTCACTCAGGTCAGAATTCAGATGATTTTTACAGTATATATTTTGCCAGACATTTAGTTAGAGCAAACTTTATTCTTATCTGTAAGAAATCAGTATATTTGAGAAAACTATATTATTTATGCCAAAATACATAAGGTAGTGGAGAGACTTGCTTCCTCCTCATCAGTGTTCTGCCATGTCCATAATATATTTTTGTAGTGTTCCTATAAAATACAACCAGGTCATCCATGTTCAAAAACATCAATATACACAGTGGTACAATGGTATAGTAACTGTAATATCCATTTTTGAAAAACTGACTTTCACATTTGTTTCACATAACATTGTCTGTATACAATATTATACCATTTAAGGAAGGACAGTGGTCACTCATTGCTGTTTTTTATGTTTTCTGATTGAAAGCGTTTGGTGGTTTTTCCTCTTCTTAAATTTACCTTTATATTTTAAACTCTTTGAAATCAATACTTAGCTACTTCAAAAACAGAAACTATGTTTTGTAACCTTCACATCTTAGTCCATTTAAACTTAAGTTACACTTCAACTTCCTGTATGTTAGACATTACCTAAAGTTAATTTAGCATAGTCTTATCTAGTAGACCTGAAGTAAAACATTTCAAACAAGCCTGTAAAAAAGGAGCTGAACTCAACAGAATAACAGAGAATGTCTTTATTCAAGTAAAACTGTGTTATGGTCTTTATTACTGTGAAGAAAGTGTAATTGATCTAATGAACTTACTGTCTTAGCAGTAAATATGTATTTTTTCAAGCATACGTTAAATTTAGTAGTTGAAAAAACAGGTGGGTTGTATCTCTCTCTCCTGAGAAACTTCCAGGAGTGTGATTACATGCATAAAATTTTCACCTTCCTCAAAATAGTTTACAGGTATATTAAATCTAAGTTTCCACTGTAAAATACTTTTCCCCCTATATTTACTTTTGAGAGTTAAAGGATCATTATTATTTTTTACTTATATTCTTCTTACGGGTAGGTTGGTATCCAGGGGCAGCTTTGAAAGCCCAAATGATACTTTGTTGTTTTTTTTATGTTAAGTATGAATTCTCACTACAAAAATTTTTTCTTATATTAATTCTTGAGAGTTACACTGTCATCACTATTATTTATTTTTATTTTTCAGGTAGGTATATGTGCAGGGACAGCTTTGAAGGACCAAGTGGTCCATTATATTCTATGTATGTTATGTTATTTTAATTATATAATGTTTATATTATATATTATGCATTGGGAATTTTACTTGTGTCATAATGTTATTTAAAACAAAATTTAAAAAGTCTTACATTATTATAAATGTTTTTAGTTTGTGACCATTTCACTGCATATTTTCCAGCAATCAATAAAGGAGATGTAAAAGACACAGAAATGGAAGCTATTATGGATAACATTGTAGACTGCCTCTTTTCAGTATTTGCTACTTTAGGTAAGTTATTTTGTTTGTAATAGAAAATAATGTTACTTAAACTTTAAAAGTTTGGAGATTAATTTTCCTGTATATTTACAACGGTTGAACTGCTGGATGAATTAATGGTGATACAACCCACTAAGTCAAGGAACCATAACAAAAGATTTACATACAATATAGGTTTTGATTACTGGGTTTTGTTATTAAATAACTTTAGAAAATGCTGTAATTGAAAACAGCATCAATGAGAAATTAATACTTGTCAGTTTTTGTAAAAACAAAAAAGGCAATTAATGGTAATCCTATTCTTAAGAGCAAGGGAGAAAATGTTAATAGATTTGAAATGGAATTTTTAAACATTTAAAGATCAATATTTGTGTATTTCTACTCAAAACTACTTCTCTATTAAATTATTTGCATGAACTGTGTTGTATATACTTCCTTCAGATTCTCATTGCTCACTGTGCAGTTTTTATGGAATGATAGTTATCTTGGAATGTATAATAGGCATCATTTAAAATCAGATCCAGCAGTTCAAAATGTTATAAAACCTGTTACACTTTGAAACTTCATTTTGGGCTCGGTATAGCCTAGTGATTAGCTTGCTAGACTATGAATCCAAAGGTCCATATTTACTTTCTGTTGCCACAAAAATTGTGCTCTTCTCTTTGTAACTGAGATTGAATTATAGAATTGATGATCAAAAATGCTACTATTCAATAAGAATAACTTAAGAATTGGCAGTGGGTGCTGTTGACTAGCTGTGTTCACTTTAGTCTGTCAGTTTCAAATTAGGGATGGCTAGTGGAGATAGCCTTTATGTAGCTTTACACAAATATCTGAAACCAACAAACAGACAAAAACTATTGAACATTTTTTTAAGGCTTAATGTTTGTTTTGTATTTATAGGTTTATATTAAGTAACTTAATGTGCTGTTTTGGAATTGCTGATCTTAATTTTCAACTGCAAATATCTAAAACATTATATACATATATTTATTAATTTAACAGATTTTGTATGTTTTTCAATACTTAATTAGCTTTTATGGCTGTTTTTAAATCAGAATATGAATTGGAAATCTCATTTAATATTTTGTTTTTCCTTCTAGGCTAATTTGAGTTTTAATTTCAAGTTTGTGTACATTATCTTAGTGAATGTGAAACTTAAGTAGCCCTGCTGTATTGTTTAGCCATGCAATTCAGTTTGTATATTAAAATATATATTTTATAATGTAAGTTATTGATGTTCAGAAAGTAATTGGAAAGATAAAATTACTTCTTAATCATAAAGGAATATACTGTTATAAGCAAGAAATTATAATAGTTGCTCATGTTATATTGCTAGAAAACAATAGTAGAAAATTCTGCTTTTAAACATTCTTCTACAAAAATAATTTTCAGTATTTTGTATTCTGAACAAAATACTTAAAAGTTTGGCTTAAATTTTGGCTCTTAATTTTTCTTGTTAATTATTATTTATACCTATTGGAAGAATGTAGTTAAATAGTTGATCTTATATTCAATTATTCTAAAAAATGAAACTGGATCATGCTTAAACGTAAGCAGTTATTTTTTAAATAGTTAAGCTGTAGTGTATTAAATTAGCAGGAGAGAAAAATGATTAGCTTCAAAGAGATTTATTAACATTTGAGGTAAAAATATTCTGATATGAAAAATGTTTTTCCGTTTGTTACACCTGTGATGGCAGATTAAGTAACTGTTATTAAAATAATTATTTATATAAAGGTATTCTTAGTGTTTGAACCACTTTATGTGTAATGTAATAACAAAACAGCAGCATAAATATTTTGTATTTAGATGCTTTGAAATGTAAATAGACAATAGATTTATAGCAATTAATGTGAATATAAAACCAAGTGTACAAAGTTGCCATGTGGTATCATGTTTTAGGAACCTAAAAGTGAATTATTCAACTATTTAGTACCACAGAATATATATATATATATATATCCAAATTTATATGATAATTGATACATAAAAAACATACTAGTCAACATGGGCACTTGTTGTATGACTGAATCTTTCCTTAGGTGCTGTACCAATTATACGAAGTCCAAGGGGGAATGCAGCAGAAATGGTAGCTGAGGTGAAGTAACTTTTTTTTTGCATCATACTGTGTTAGTGAACTAAGAAGTATAATGTTAAATTTTATTGATAATTTTATGTTTTTGTTTATACATATAATTTCATGTTTTTATGTAGGAGTAATGCGAATGAATCTCTAAAGGCTCTTTCTTAGTGTTTGATAAACTACATTACTGTATGACTTCATAGGATAAGCAAACCTGTTCTCAGTTTTTTATTCTTTATCAAGTATTTTAACACGTAGTTGTATCTCTTTCCATCAAACCTCATCTTATCAACAGAATGAATTTCCATAGATCATGACTCTTTATAATTACTATATTCCTCCGAACAATCTAATGAGTAGTAGTTTCTGAAACAATTGCTCAACTCTTCACACAGGACACCTTGATTCCTCATGCATCTTCCAATAAAAGTTACATGCTACTAGCCTTAACCTAACTCCAACCTAAAAATCACATGTTTAACATCAACTGTGCTATTGCATGATGACAGTCCTCCACCAGTAGGGGAGTGTCCCAACCTCCTTGTTCAGTAACTCCCTTAAGTATTTGCACTCAAAATAATTTTATTCTTTTCCTCAGCATTGTCATGAATGGACATGTTTTTTAAACTTATTATTTAATTACATGAGATTTGCAATAGCTAACGAAACCTAAATTTTATTTAAGTTTTAACTGATTTCTTTCATTACTAAAGAAAATAAAAAAATATTTTATTCCTGCTTACCCATTATGAATTCTCAAGTGATGGTAACCTCTACTTCATCCTGTGATGGTAACAATGCTACTAATGGACCTGTTACTACTGGAACCTTGTTGTTTTAGAGGATGTGGTAGCCATTGTTCAACATGTTGTGGGTTCCCTCATGCATTCTGGGCCTCCTCTTCCTGACTCTTCAGCTGATGTTTCTTCTCCTTAGTTTGACAATGACAAGAATGTTGATAATTTTGACTGGCTGTTCCCCCCACCAGGGTTTGCTCTAGGTGGAATCCTCAACCTTCTAATCTCTTTCTTGACATGATTTAGCAGGAATGTTCTTTTCTTTCTTATTCTATGGTATCTTTTGGTTCTTCCTGTTCTTTATTACATGAAACCCATTCTCAAGATTATTTGTCTTCCCTCCTTTGCCTGATGTAACGTATTGATAATTTGAAATAATCTGAAGCCAATTTAAATTTTAATAGTTCAATTATACCCTGGATTTAGTGTCTAGTAATATGCCGATATTTTATTTACCCTATTTGCCAACAAGATTGATTCACATCGTTTTTGTTTTTGACACAAATACGTTTTGATATATATATATACAACCTTATAATTTACAATAGCAGCTATTATGATTAATTATTACAAATAAAGTTTCATAAACAGAAATTTCACTAACTTACAAATAGCCTAAAATCGTCTTCCTAGTTCATAGTCTCCTTGATATCCAGCGAGTTAACTTGAAGTCGATGTATGTACAATTGTTAGGAAGCTAGCTAGCTGTGTCAGGCACTGAATTGTTGTACCATTGAAGTAAGACCACTAATGTCCAATGAGGAACCAGCAATATTTTTGGAAAGATACCAACGTTTGATGAGAATTCTCTGACGTTTGAAATTTATAGCTGTTCCTGGTCAAATGTTGTATATTTTCCAATTAGTAAGGGTTAGCAAAATCACGGTTTATAGTGTACACACAGTTATAACAGTCTCCTAGCAGGCTTTTCTCAAATGTTCGGACAATACCGGTTACGGAAGTGGATATATTGTTGATTCTTGTGTTCATTAATATTCTACAACCTTTGAGAATTGGCAGGAGTTTTGCCATACTTAACTAACACGGTACGCTAGACATGCCCTCAAATATAAACTTATATGCAACACATATCTGATACTACAAATCATGCATATTTCTAAATACAAATTCAATCCAAACAATGCTCATATTAAAAATAAATACATAATGATAAATTCGTTACACTGATATTAGGGTTCACGCAGACTCGTTTTTTGAACAACTGCACACTAATACTTGCGTGTCTCGTCCTCCTTGCCTATTCTACTCTTTTGTCCTGGTTTACAGCCATTCTTCATTTCCTTTCCTTGATCCCCAGTCTTTGGAATATCTTTTACCTACTTAGGGAGTGGACCCCTTAACTTCTATTTCACTTTCTAGTCCCAGTCTTCACGCCTTCATTTCTTTCTTACCACCTTCCTACATTACCTCTTGTTCCTTCACCTTATTTATGAGGCACTTCATCTTGTTCTGGAAGGTTTTCTGAGAAGGTTCATTCTCTCCTTTTTACCACTTTAACCCATGCTACTACTTCCTCTCTATCCCTCCTGACTTGGTTCCTCCACTGTTGGGACTTGTTGGGTCGGAATGCTTTCCTAACTAATGTTCACCTGATTCACTCTTATCTCTGTGATCTTTGATGGGCTCCTTTCCTTTACCTGGAGGTCTTTGGTGTTCCTGACACCCTGGAGACTCAAGCCAAGGCAGTCTAGGATCAGTCCTCATTATCTTCCTTGGTTTCTCATCTTTCTCAACCCTTGCTCTTCTGCACCTGTTTCTAGGCCTGTTCAACTCATGTCTCCCCTTTCCATTCCAGCTTCCTGATCTTTTTCTTCCTGTTCTCCCACTTCCTGATGTTAGGGTCATTGCTAATCTCATCAGTGACTATCCAATCAGGTTTGGTCCAATAGGCACACATCTGTTTCACTTCACCAACCTTTGGTTTCCATTTTTAGCCAACAGATGGGTTCTTCAGGTTCTTGCCCTTGCTCTACCAGTGCCCACTGTCAAGATTGGGTGTTCTGCAAGACCACTAGCTATATCTCAATTTTCTACTTCAGAAATTGGATTAGTCCATGGACTATCATGGAAAAATTCAGCACCAAGGAAGTGACTGCCTACTTCTTTGGCTTTCGCATGCAGACTTTTCAAAATGAGGTTTTGTGGTCACCCATTGTACTGTCTTCAGTAAAATATCTTTCTGGCAGGACTGGATGGGGATCTGGACACTTCTTCAAGTCTTCCCAATGCAAATTCTCCCCCCCCCTCCTCCTTTTTCAAGTGTAGCACGAGAGACTCTTGCCACTTACCAGTTCTTAGCCATTTGGGTAGTAGACCTTGGAGAGCTCCTCACTGACTGTATACAGCATGTATTGATGGAGAAATTTGTAGCAAAAATACTTCATTAAAAATTTGATTTTTTGTCTACAAAAGACTTCTATTGTTTACTGAAAGCTTGCGAAATTTTGTAAACATACATAGAACATGTTAAAAATTATAGTACGGAAACTAAAGGTTAATTTGGGGGCATGAACTCAATTGAATTGACAGAGTGCATAGCAAGAGAGTAAATAAGCACTTGCTTCTCATATCACAATCCTTTCTTACTCCTGATAACCTGTCATTGTGGTGACAGATTGAACTGATGCTTCCAGGGATTTGGTGCCAAAGCATCCTGAAGAATTAAGGTCAACATGTATAGAACATTAATTGGCTGCAAATTGATGTTAATCAAGCCAAAGACATCAAATTCACATACCATAGATACTATAACAAAGCTTTTGAGACTTAGAAGACAGAATTACCAACAATTAACATATTACTATTTTTAACAGAATATTATTGTCTCCAAAATGTACTGGTTATATTAAAAACTGCCTTTTCCTTTGGGTAACATCTTTGGGATATCTAGTTTAGGAAATGGTACTCTTCATTTAAAACCCTAGGTTGGACTGAAGGCTTTTAACATGAGAAATCGACAAAGAAAGCTAGCAGATATTTTACATTTCTTTATATGTGAATTCCATATGTTCATCTGTTAAATTACAAATAAAAGTAATTCAGACAAAATGTATTCAGTATTTCAAATTCTAAGTTTTCTTAGTCAAGTGAACTAATTAATACATATACATATTGCTTAGAATTTTTTTTTATAAAAAGAAATGGAGCTTTAATAGTTGTTTTGTCTTTATGGTGATTATATAATGAAAGTTGCATTAGCTTTTTACCATAGTCAAGAAAAACGTGAAATCCATTACATTAGTTCAGTATGTGATGCTAATTTGTAATTTACCAGTGAACTGTGAACTTAATTAGGAATGCTATTTTCAGTACATTTTATTGTTTTATTACACAGCAAAAAACCTGAATAACTTTTTAGAATTTCCTTCATTGTTTCTACTGAAATAAATAACCTAAAATACAATTAAACAGAAACAAACTGAAACATTTTGATAACAATAAACTGCTATTGGTTGTTATGAAAGGTTTTTGGCTGAACAATCGCAACTTAAAGTTCTTTAATATACAATAAACTTTTGTTTTGAAAAAAAAAATGAGAAAGAGAGAGAAAGAAAGAGTTCGTTTTTTCATTGAGTAGAATCATTAATTAATTGTGATTGCCTGAATTTGATGACAGAAAATTGGTTAAGACTATGTATAATAATTTGATATTTAAATCTTTAAAATCTACACTACAAATTAAAGATTATTATGAAGCTAATTATCATTCTGATTTTGTAAAAAAATTGGTTTCTACTATTAAAAGGATTAAACTGAAAATGAAAATATCTGATTGGAAATCCATTGGACATGACAAGTATGGAGAGAAATCATTTAGTTTGTTTTAACCAAATGTTGGTTTGACAGATATATACAGTAAAATTCATGTATTTCTGAAGTTTCAAATTATGAAAAGATTTAACATTTTCCATGTTTGAAAAGTCTGCATCAAATTGGTATTCTCAGTACTGACGAAAAATTTCAGTTCTTTTTTTAACATAAAACAGGCAAAGTTTCTCTTACTCCAGACTAGGTCTTCTCAAAATAGATCATATCAAATATTCCAATTTGAGATTTCCTTCTCTTGTGATTGAAATTTGATACTAAGATTTATTTCTGAAGGTTAAATATCAAAGTGTAGTTAAAATTCTTCTTTTGTTATTGTATAAAAATTACCAAAAGTCATGAATCATTTTAAAATTTCCATACCTATGAGAATGTTGCAGAAAACAGAATTTATTGAAAAAAATACTCTAGCATTTCACTTATTTAATAATAAGTATAAATGTATAGTTTCTGAATAGTTGTACAAAACTAGGACTTTTTTTTTAAATCATTAAATATATCTGATGTCCTCTTCCTTGACAGAAACTAGACAAAAAATTAAGAGAAAACATTAGAGATTCAAGAAACAGTTTGTTTACATCTGATGCATTGTCAGGACAGTTTAGGTAAGCTCTGTTATAGTGTGTAAAACAAAATGGTGTCTCCAAAATACACTTATCACTTGTAAGTTTAACATTAAGTGAAATCAGTTTTCATTTAGGTTTGCACATATGTAAAAATGATTATTTAATGCCACTTCTTTTGTGTTTTTTAATGTAAATTCTAAATATGAAAGGATTTACCTGAACCAGATTGTTAAAAAATGTTGATGAGATACTAGGGGTTTGTCTGAAATCTCCTTCCCTTAAAACAAACAAAATATGTTTAATTAGCTAGTTTAATGGTTTTTTTTGATAAAAACTTGCATTTATCAATTTATAAAGAGTGTATATTGATAGAAATGTCTCAGAAAACTACAGTTTTGGATTATCATTTATTACAATAGTTTAAGATACTTAATTGAACAATTTATAACTGAAAAAGGTCTCTAGTGCACTATCAGAAATTTTTATTAATACAGTCTCTTGGTTTACTAAGACTGCTAGTATTTTATACATTAATCTATTTTAATATTTTCGTTCAATGCCAACCTTGTTAAGTAGGTCTGAATGTGAGAGATATTCATTCTTAACTACTTCGAAATGATACTTCAAAAGTCACTGATTTCTGTTTCATCTTGACTAACTTCTTAATGTTTTAATATTGTAAAAGAGTTTCTCAATCCTTAATTTTTATGGAACAGCTGTGTAGTATGATCAATACTGGTAACTGGAGAATTGCCACACAACTTTTTTTTGGGGGGGAGGGAGGAAATGTAACAAAATCTTGAATAAGATCATAATAATCTCCAACACCTCATTTTTAACTAGCTGGATAAGAAATTCCAGAAAGAAAAGTTTACATTTCAACTTGCCTTGCTGTTCACTGATGGCCTTGTGATTTTCTATTAGTTGTGTCTATCTAGATGAGAAATCTCTTGCTTTGTTCTATTTCTTCCTTTAGTTGGGAAGAAATACAAAAAACAATTTTATGCACAGCTGCAGTTTAGTGTTTCAGAGTGCAGGTGATCAGTTGTGTGCAGACTTGTTATATGATACAAATATATGGGTATTTACATGCATTAAAAATCATAAAGTTTCTGTGAAATGCATACAATGTTCCTATCAGATTAAGTTAACTTGAGCAGAATTTGACAGTTTAGGATAACAGAGAGTCAATACTTACAAATTGAAATATGTTTTAAAGCTAACCCATTTCTGTGTTGAAACAGTGTGGGGAATGTTGATAAAGCTTTTATAATGAAATTTACTAATGATTACATGTTCTGTTTGAGTTGTAAGATTATTTGCACCTCATTTTGAGTTTTATTTGAAACAAGTTGTTTTAAGAGAAACAAATGATAAATTTTCCTTCTAGTTTTCAACGTCCACTCCTAGTTGTTTTAGACAGAAATCTAGACATGGCTACTCCTTTACATCACACGTGGACATACCAGGCTCTTGCCCATGATGTTTTGGTATGTTATTAACAATATCACAGAATAGTTATAGGAGGGTTCTGTACCTTGTGCTCAATTTTTGTTGTAAAATTCATATTTTATTAAGTTTTTCTCTATTCTAGTGAATCAATGGCCAGATATTTTTTCTTTTTTTAAGAGGTTTTTCAATCTACTTTGAATATATTTAGCTTTTCCATGCATTGTTATGTGTGAATGATTTTTATTTAAAGTATTACCACTTCCTGATAATGATAACAAATACTATCTTTAATTTTAGAAGTATGGTATTTGTAGTTGAATGTTATTTTTATTTTTTCTACAGAAACTAGAATTAAATCAGGTGACTATAGAAGAGACAGAAGAAAAACCTGGTCATGTTGGGGCAAAGCCAAGGAAGAAGATAAAGTGTTTTGACCTAAATCCATTGGATAGGTTTTGGGAACAACATAAAGGAAGGTTTGTGTGGCTCATTAAGTTTGAAAATAACACTGTGTGTATTACTTTGTTGAGAAATCAGAAGTTATTGAATATTTCAAAAATGCTTGACATTTTTTTTATATTATATCTAGGAAATTATTTACTATATTAAGAATTGTAACATAATGTTAAAAGAAGGTCTTTGAAACAAATGTGGTATGAGTATTGTAGTTTTAGACTATTTTTAATCAAGTAAAAAGTTCAGACTTGACCAATATTGTATGAGTTTTTAGGTCATTTCCTTCATCTTCTAACCTTGACTGTATTTACTTTTTGTAAAACTGTTGATGGATTAAAATGAAATTCAAAAACGTCTTATGGTTTATTTAGGTTTATGATTGTTAATAGAAAGATGAAAAACCTTAAGGTTCCACCTTTAATGTGGCTTTTTTTCAATTTAAAAAACTTTACTTATGGAATTTCAAGGATAATATATCTACCCAAGTACAACAAAGCACTTAGGAGGTATAGTTTGTCTATAAGTTGACCTAGGAGGGTAGGGAATTTTCAAAGTATTGATATTTTTATGAGTATTTGTTATTTAAAAGGCTAAATGTATATTGATGAAAGGAATGTAAAAGTATAAAAATTAAGTGCTTTATGTTATACACAATATGTTTTAAATAATAATAATGTGAAAAGTTTAAAATATTATTGCTTGGGAATTTGCTTATCATCACAATTTTTTTTAGTCCTTTTCCATCAGTTGCAGAAGCTGTACAGGAAGAGCTAGAATCTTATAGAGCCTCAGAAGAAGAAGTTAAAAGATTAAAAACAGTGATGGTGAGTTTGAAATATGTTGTAAATTTTTCTTGATATAAAGCTCTTTCTAGTTTTATGTTTAGATATTTCAGCTTTAAGACTGTTTAAAAAGTACATGAGCCTAGATATGCCCTTATGGTTAGTGTATTAGATTGTGAATTTGAGGGTTCATGGTTTGAATTTCATTGCTGCAAAAAATGCACTATGTACTTTGGAGTCATGGTTGTGTGTTGTATAAGAATTATAGTCCAATCCCATTATTTGATTAGAATAGTTGAAGAGTTGGTGATGGATGCTGTTTACTAGCTGCTTTCATTCTAGTCTATCAGTTTAAAGTTAGGTAAAACTATTGCAGAGAGCCTTTCTGTAGCCTTGTTTTAATTTCTGCAGCAACAAACAAAAAGTACATACTTCAGCACACATTGTAAAACCCACTTTTACTTTCTGCCAGAGTATATGGTTTATCATGTTGGCAGCATTAATATTGTACACCTTGATGAAAAATTATCTTGTTAGAAAATTTTTTCAGCAATGAATATGTATTTTATTTTATACCTTGTATACTTTAATAGATGCTTTCATGTCTTAATATTCAGATAATGGTTGTGTATTAATTCTGTTATGCTGAACGTATTGTTGTAGGTCAAATGTTGGGTCTTGTGTGTAATTGTAGTTTTAAACAAAATTCTGATTTCCATGTTGAATGTGAACTTGACACATTTGTTTAAGAATTTATATTCAGAAATTCACCAAGTTATTGAAATCCTTTTTGTATTCTACATTTAGGGGTTAGAAGGTGATACTGATGAAGCCATAAGTATGATCTCTGACAACACAGCAAAACTTACATCAGCAGTCAGGTAATTCAATTCTATATGAATGTGTTTATAGTTATATTTATTTATTATGGTTAGAATAATTCTTTCAAAGAGTAATATCTGGTTGTCCACATGTTTGTTAACCTGACTGTAAATGATAATAGAAAATAATTCTTGAGTAAAATCAAAAAATTGAAATAAGAGAATGCATCACATGTTTTTTACATTCAAATATTCATTCTGTTTGAGACAATTTTTTTTTTAATCTGAGAATATTTTGTTAAGCCACATATCTACTATTTTATGTAATGTCTTTTTTTGTGGCTGTATTATGGAAACAAAAAGGAGACAAAATAATATGTGATGTTTATCATATACTATAATTGATTAGAAATTATGGTGGTGGGCTTAACCCACAGTGTTGATGTTGAATGGAAATTCAGACATTTTGTGCTAGCTTATGAACTATTGCTTTTACCTAAGTATCTGTTGTCTAGAGTTGTGTGAGCCTCAAACAGATCTATATACATGTATTTCAGTTTTACATACACCACTTTAACATAATTAACATATCAACAAATAAAATAGACATTGTATGTTAAACAAGCCAAAGTTAAATTATGAACATGGTGTGATACACATTAATTTTGAGTTTAGTGACAGGAGGGGATTAAAATAACTCAAAATTATTTAACTTTATAATTTTTAATATTATTTATAGACTTATTTTTGTTTCTATGTGTATAAGTATTTTGTTTACTTAGATATTGTTATGAAACTGCCAAATATTTATTTAAGTGTTAAATGTTAACACTGATCTTGAAGAGGTCATACAAAACAAATGAGCAAGAGAGACATTTTTTAATGTGTAGGATAGTTTTATAAATATTGTGAAAGATGCTATACTTCTGTATAGAACATAATAATATTAATAAAGTTATGGTCTTCTGATAGGATTGTAAATTTAATATCCCCAAAAGTATATTTTTTGTTTAAATATACAATCATCTACATTTGTAAATGCTTACTTTTGACACTTGTTTTGTATTTCTTACAAAGTAAAAAATTATAATAACCATTTATTCATTTACCTAGTATTAGTACTTACTTGCAGTAGTATGTGAGTTAAAAAAAAAGCTGACAGACAGTTTTTATGGTATGTATGCTTTTTACAAGCCAGTGAAGAATTATTATAGTTATACTTGTCATAAGACATTAGTATTTGGCTTATTACATTTTTAAGCACTACATTCTTAATCTAGTCCCTTAGGGATTTTTAAGAACTAGAAGAGTGTATGATAAATGTATTCCAACCACACTATATTCATCATATCTATTACCGACAACACGTTTCACTCAATCCAGAGTGTTTGCTGTATCACAGTCGTCCTGAAATACAGTATGGTTGGAATACTATTATTGTACACTCTTCTAATTCTTGAAACTCCCTAAGGAACTAGATTAAGAATGTAATAGGCCTAATACTAATGTCTTATGACAAATATAATTAAAACTGATAGACAGTTTTAAAAAATCCTTAGACTACTACTGGACATTTCACTGTAACTTTAGTTCATTTCATATATTTTGTTTTATTGCAAATTATTAAAAAGCTTATTAGGTCTCAGCAAAATGTAACTTTATATTGCAGAGTTTGTTTATTATTAAAAGCTCTCAGCAAGCTCATTAGTTCTATGCTGAACGTAGCTTTGAATCATATAATATGTTTTTGTTGTTATGATTCCATGTTCTAAAAAGGCTCATCAAGTCTCAACTGATTGTTACTTTCTTTCATATAGGATGTATTGTTTATTATTACATTATATTTAAAGTTGAGCATATGGAAGGATACATAAACAAAACAACCAAATATTTAACAATATTTTATGTTTTATATAAAGAAAAAATATTATTTGATAAGAAGAGTTTATAGAAATAAATGAAAATGTTGCAGTATAATAATAATGAGGAAACAACTTGTACAATAGTAATAAGAAGAGATCTCGCATGCATGTGATAACACAAACTCTATAATTCTTGCTGTATGATGGTTACAACATCTTAGTTGTTTTTTATTTTAAAATCTAAATAGTTAGTTGCAAGTAGCAACAAACAGACCATACCTTTATTTGTTTTTGGTATTCGTGAAAAGTTACACAAGGGTTATCTGTGTTAACCATCTCTAATTTTGAACTGATACACCAGAAGGAAGGCAGCTAGTCAACAGCACTTACCACCAACTCTTGGGCTACTTGAATGGTGGAATTTGACCATCACTCTTATAATCCCCCCCTCCCATAAAATGTGAAGTGCATTTATGCAGTTGCATATATCAACAAGTAGGGTCAGACTTGATCTCTACTTCTTTCTCTACATTCACATCTTATCATTCCAACTAGTTTGACATATTACAGGTTTTATGACCATTCTAGTGGATTCTCTTTCCAGAAATTGTTGGTTTTTTCTAGCAGTGCATATCCTTAAGCTTTGTATTTATTGTTGTGTTATCAGTTTGTTCATCCTGTGCATTCATAATGGCAGCAAGTCATCTTGTTTCATTCACAATGGCAGCAAGTCATCTTGTTTTATTCACAACGGCAGCAAGTCACCTTGTTTCATTCACAGTGGCAGCAAGTCACCTTGTTTCATTCACAGTGGCAGCAAGTCACCTTGTTTCATTCACAGTGGCAGCAAGTCACCTTGTTTCATTCACAGTGGCAGCAAGTCATCGAGTTGCATGCACAGTGGCAGCAAGTCATCGAGTTGCATTCACAGTGGCAGCAAGTCATTTTGTTGCATTCACAATGGCAGCAAATCATCTTGTTGCGTTCAAAATGGCAATAAGTTCTCTTGTGTCATTCTACTGGTCTACAGTGTTGGATCCAGCTGGTCTAGCAGTGAATTGACAAAGAGTTTTTCTATAGCATTGGTAGCATACTGTTTCACTGCTTTTCTAAGATACTTCAACAAGCTTGGTTGTTTTAATGTATAGTCCTTTATTTACCACTAAAATTTTTTTACTGTAATTCATGTTTTGGCAAGAAAAAGAAATTCACAAATAAACTTGGTTATTGACAAACTTTCTGTAGCTTTGTTAGCATACTGTATCTCTGATTTTCTAAGATAGTTTTATATAGCCTTAGTTTTGAGTTTCGCTTCTGTCTTTTCTGATGATACTTGTTGTAGACTGCAGGGATTATCCATGTTTTGGCATAAAGAAAAAAATATTTATAAAGCATGAATACATATGGTAAAATCATAAATTTTGATGTTTTTATAAACTCTTAGGTACCAAGATGGTATCACCATCAAAGTGTAGTCCCATTGTTTTACAGAACTGTCATGTTGAAAATAGTTTTAAAGGGTACTTGCAAAAGTTGAGCATAGCTCATCCATTGTCTAGTAAACTTGGAATACAAAGAGAGCTTCTTGAGTTGCAGTTGTTAGGTTGGCTTCCAGCAATTGATGGAAATAAGGAACTTGCTTCATAAACCTGCTTGTTGTCCTGTTATATTGTTAATTCTTAAATTAAAGCAGCAACACAGTTATTAAATGATATGTATTTGTTTTCATAATTTTTGATATATGAATTAGGTATAAATAGGAAATTAAAAGGTTCCTGTCAGTTTTGGATACTGAAAATTAAATATTGTCATTTAGCCTAGCAGAAGGTCTAGAATATCATATTTATTTATAAACCAGTCAAACATTGTTTCAAGTAGGCCAGTAAACTTTTGAGTATTATCATTTATATATATATATCACATTACTGTTATTGGTCCAGGTTGTCAACTTATTTATTTAATCCATTATTGTTTTATAGTGCTGATTCAATCACCTATTAACAATTATTATATATATCTTAAGGTAACAATAGTTCATTTTAACATTCAAAGGAAAGAGAGCATATTAAAGTCAGCAGCATCTCCTCACCTTAGATGGGTTTATACATACATATGTACATTTATTATTCATAACTTTCTAGTGATATAAAGTGTACATTGTTTCTATGTACTATGTGACATTTAAAGTTAACTGGGCTACAAGCAACTGCCTGATTTTTTTGGTATAGTTTAAAATCTTGAAGATATAAACAGTTAAGTATTAAATAATTAATTTAAAACATCTGATTTTTTTTGTCTTTCAATTTTCAGTTCCCTGCCTGAACTGTTGGAAAAGAAAAGATTAATTGATCTTCATACAACAATAGCAACTGCTATTTTAGATCATATTAAGGTACATATTTAATAGGAATTTTTTTATTGTTATTAAAAATAGAATAAGAATTGTGTGTCATAACTGGAAGAGGGTTTGTTAAATGATTTCATTGTCTTCTCATAACAAAGACACAACTGTACTGATTTACTGCAGACAATTCAACTATTTACTCTTCGTCAATTGTTTTCTGAAGAAAAATATTACTGACAAGTGTGTGTGTTTTTTTAAACATGAGAATTACAGTATGTTATCTCTTATAAAATGAAGTTCTAAAAATCATGTAAAGTCTTTATAATTAATTACTGACATAAAATATGCTACAATGATTGTAATTGTCCACATTTAAATTTGATATCAAGATTATTCTGGAAATTAACAAAGGAGGGTTTTCTTTTGAAATAAATAAGTTAGATTTCAGTAATGAATTATTTGGTATTGGTTTCAAGTTATATAAAAAGTTTTCTTTTGAATTTTTTTTTATATGTTATGATGGTACAATTCAATTAATTAGTTATAGAAGGTTATAAAATAACAATTTGAATATCTGTATATTTCAAAAAGAAGCATTTACTTCAATGAGCTATGGTTTATTTATGCTTTATTAGTGTTGTATATCTATGTACAGGTTGCACTACCAGATGTGTTTTCAACCTTTATTGTTATACAAGTAATTATGCATGGTGCAAACACATATCACAATGGGAATTATAAGTATTAATAAATTAGTATCTTGCCATGAGGAGTTAGACAAGTATAACTAAAATGTGAATTCAAGTTTGTTATATTTATCTTTGAACTAGTTTCTGCTTTACAGCATATCTTCACCAGGGTGAAACTAGATACACCCAAAGTTTTGTTGTTATTTTCTGCTAAATGGTGCAGATTTTAATCTTCTTTAATAGGTATTATTAGTGTATTATAGATGTAACTGGATGTTTTATTCTGCTTTTTGATTGATCTGGATGATACTTTTTTGCTTCAGTTTTTCTGATTTTCCATTTTGTCTCGTAATAATCACCATTAAGTTGTGTATATTTTCTGTCTGAAGCTTTGACATTCGTATACTTTCAAGAAATATTCATTCAGACTTTTCTTCCAAGTAGGTCATTAAGGGAATACATAGTTTATTGTAATTCTTCTTCATGTTTCAGATCCTTTGTAACAAAAAAAACTTTATATTCCATTTATTGTACTAGTCTTATGTATCATTAATTTTATTGTAGTGTTGGCCATCTGATTATTTTATATCTGCTTAAAGGTCATACAAAAACAACTTTTTTATAGATTTCAGTAAGATATTTTTAGTTAATGATTGAATGGTCTCTTTCTTTCTTACTTGGAACCTTTTTCTCTTTCTTAGGATTATTCTCTCTCTCTCACTTGGATTCTTCTTCTTTCTTACTTGTTAAAGTTAAAATATTTCTGTTCCTTTACAAGGCAAATAGGGCCAGTGCTTTCAAACTTTAGTTCCAATAGCACAAGTGGATGAGAATGGTGACCCATCCTTCCTGGATGGGATGCCAATAGATTGTGGGTTAAACCCCAGCTAACAGCTAGATACCTATCATATAAATGAGTAGACTGGAACAAGTGGGGTAAAGTGACTTGCTCAAAGATACAACAACATGATGCAAGCCAGACTTAAACTCATAATCATTCACTTTGAGTTTAAAACATGAAGCCACACTGCCGTTTTTTTTACTTGGAATCCACACTTAATTTACTTCTGAATGCGGACCAGTCTCGAACTCGCAACCATTCAACTATGAGTCTAAAGCATGAAGCCACACTGTAATAATAAAAGAACACAATATTGTGTACAGTAATTAATGAAAGAACCACAATAAGCGGTCAGAAAAAACTGTCAGAAGTCTGATATCGGAGAAACTAGTTTCGACATGTTCGTAAGTCCTCTTCAGTCTCATGTTGTCTTCTGGCAGGAAAAAACTGGTCAACAAATGCCTACATGACCCCTGATCTTGGAATTCCACTTCAATTTCCTTATCTCTTCAGAAAGACAGTGGGGGAAGTATGAGTTGTCACTTTTCTTATTATTATGTAATGCACTAGTTGTGCAATTCGTTAAGAGGTTCATATGTTCACTGTTGTCCTAGGCTAACTTAACAATGTCTGATATTAAGTCTATGTTCAGGTTCGCATTCTTAAAGGAAAAGGATAAGCCTTAACCTAGGGCTATTTGTTCTAATTTGGTTAAGTTATAAGATGACAACTTTAAAACATTTTTATTGGGTTGTGAAGCCTTACACCACAAACTATTCTTAAAGAAATTATCAAATTTCATTTTGAGTCTTATTCTTTTATGCTTGAGCTTGTTTGATACTACAGTGTAATTTGCTCATTTGTGTTGAAGTTTTGTACGTTCTTGTTGTATGCATGCCGCCTCACGTGATGCATAAAAGGCCTCATTAATTTTAGAATTAATCTTCTCATTCCTTTCTTTTAAAATGAATTCTTGAAGGTTACCAAATGGAAGTCGTTGACTCTTCTTCAATATTTTTGGTAGTAAAGTTTTTGGAGTAACTTTGTTCTTCAAACACATGATAAGAAACTGTCTTTGTAATTTTTCCCATTTTGCCTTCAGGAGCTGTGTTTCAAAATTCCTGTACAGTACACCAATGTCACGATGATGTTTGAAAAGACATTTAAGATATCTTTGTTCCTTCATGGATAACATAGTAATAATACTATACAAAACAGATAACTACATAAAAAGAAGAATTGTCGAAAGTCACTTAATCAAAAGCCTGCCTAATTTCAACACTTCCCAAGGCCATTTTAAACTTAACAACTTCCTGACCTCCTGTGTCCTTAAGGGAATTTCAAAATCAGGGGTCACGTAGGCATTTGTTGACAAGTTTTTTCCTGCTAGAAGACAATGTGAGACTGAAGAGGATTCATGAATGTGTCAAAACTAGTTTCTCTGTTATCAGACTTCTAGCAGTTTGTTCCATTTACTGTGGTCTTTTAATAAGCCACACTGTCTTTTGTACTTAGAATTTTCATTTAATTGACTTCTGAATAGGAAAATGCTTCATATTTTCTGATAGATTTTGTTTTATATTTTGAGTTCATTCATTTTGGGGCTTTTTTCTTTCACTGCTTGATGTGTTGTCCATTTTTCATACGTGGTCATGTATTTTTAAAAAGCACAAGTGTATTGACTGGTGGGTGTCTATTTACAGTATATGTTTTTTAAGTTAAAACATTGTTTTTTGCATCCTTCTTGGATTTTCTAGTAAACATCTGTGTATTCATATCAAGTTACTAAACAAGTAGACCTTGTGATATCCCAAACTTTGCTAGTAAGAGTTCATTGACATAGCACAACTTTGTCCTTATGTTAGCTAATCAATATAGTTTTTGTTGTAAGCTTTATTGTCAAAGACTTAGTTGCAACACACAGTACTGTTTAATTCAAATTGCATTAATAACTACTTAATTGTGTTTGATTGAAGAATGAAAATACAAGAAAGCATATTTAAAAAGCTTAATAATGACATGATGATTTATAAACACCCTACATATGGAGTAATAAATAAATATACCATGTCAAAAAAATCAAAGAGTTAGAGAATTAAACACTGTATTTCATATAAATTCATATATTAATAAATATATAAATAATTGAGGACATGATTTTTACATGTTTAGAGTAGAAAATTGGACATCTACTTTGAAGTTGAAGAAAAGATTATGAGCAAATCCTCCTTGGTAAGCTCCTTATATTTTGAATATATGTTTGCATGAACAAAACTGGTGAAAAAATAGACTTTAAAAGAATATAAGGAAGATACGAAAGAAATGTAGAATGTCTTCTTTTTTTCTTAGCTGTTGGAGAATAATTTTGCCACTTTACAATGTTTCTTTTACTTGTTGTTAGCCTAATAATTGTATTTTATCCTCCAAATTCTTTTAAGAGGTGTTAACGGTTGTGATATTCAATGCACAACACATTGCTTTTAACATGGCCATAGAACTAAAATCTATTTAATGAGCTTTACTGAAAATCAAAAAGTAACTAAACCTCTAAATCAGGTTTATATAAAATTAAGATACTGGCTTCTTAGTACTTAGTATGATTAAACAACCATATTAAATTCATTTATATTTACTTTGTTTTTAGACATTGGTAAATGGTCTGATATCATTATTCAAGAACATTTTATTTATTTTGCTTGCAGTTTATGAGAGTTAATCATCACCTAATTAAGGTGATAAGGGTTAATTTCTAAGCATGCCACTTTGCTTTTAATGTGTTTAGAAATTAAACACATTATTAAAAACAAATAATAAATAACTAATATTCTGCAAAACTATGTTCACTTTAAACTAATTACAACAAACTGTATTTGATGAAAATTACTTTGTATACATTTATTCCACTGACTTTGCTGTTAGCAATTGAATAAGTGGTCAACTTTCTTACTTTCATTAATTACTTTGCAATTGAGTCTAAAAAATCAAGATTGTATTACAAACATAGTCCAGTAATTGCTGACATATGAAAATATAGAAACTTTTAAGTGCACTGTAGACATAAACATTTATAAATTTGACTTGAAATTGTGTAGTAGTACTTCAACAAATCATTGAAAAGTTTTTAGAATATGAGAATTGTGAACAGATAAAAAAAAAACTGAAATAAAGTATATGAATGTTCAATATCTAATGCAATAAAGAGTACTTTATTAGTTGTGTTCTTAGTAAATTCAGTAATTTTAAAACAATAAATGAGAAGCTTTCTATTTTTAAATACGCAACTGTGTAAACGTATGCATAAGTTTGAAAAGCAACTGTATGAAATGCACACGCTATAGGAAAAGAGATATTATACACCATAGACTACCAGACATTTTGCTAATTTGCATATTATTTCATTCATAACTTGATGAATGAAGGAGCCATTTTTTAACATGTCACATCAGTGAATGTTTGTTTCTGTTAGAATTGTCTTGACTCGCTTTATAATTGAGACATGTTATATGCCTTACATTAACATTTGAGAACAGAAGAAAGATATCCTTCACTGATTGGTTTATTTTATACTCCTAGATTTTTTAATAGACTTGGTATTGATATACATGAGATAAAAACTTGTATGACAACAAAGGAGCAGTTTTGAATTTGACTTTTTGTAATACTGATAAACATTAATAACATTGCAATGTTTTATTTCACTTAGATTGTTTTCTGTTGAAATTATATATAAGTTTTTGTTTATTTTAGGAAAGGTCTTTAATGGATATGATAAACAATTCAGAAGGTAAGGATTTGCTTTCTGCATAAGAGAAAAAAATTTCAAAATCTTATTTTCCATGCTTCAAAATTAGTAAATTCAATTAAGATGAGCCAGGTTCTGAGACAAACACTTTACTTTTTCAATTAAAAAACATTAGAATACAAGTTATATCATTTGATAGAAAATATTATTGTTTTTTAACACATAATGAATGATACATAAATCAATATTGGGTGATACTTTGCACTTAGAAAATACTTTAATCTGTATCAAGTGCTTTTTTTTTATTGAAACTATATGATGGAAATCAATCCACTATTATTAGTTACTTGGCATGTTACCCTATTTAAACAACAACTGAAACCAATCGATTATTAACAGCCATTTGGCTTGTTTAAGCAACAGCTAAAACCAATCCAATGTTATCAGCTACTTGACATGTTGCCCCAATTTAAACAACAGCTGAGACCAACATTAACGGATATTTGACATTATTAGGATTATGGAAGTAAATTCTACTTTTTCTTTATTTGATATTAAATATTGGCCTAGTCATCATAGATTTCATTAGATTATTCAAACTGTTGTGTTAGGACAAAAATAATTCCACAAATGTCTACATCATATGCTATGTGATAATTTGAAATTTGTGACATTATGGGCTTGAGTACCCATACTTACTCTGAATTTTAATTCTGTATTTTTGTTCCACATGCAGAACACATGTATGGCACTTAAATCTGGTAGACAGTATACCTCATCCTCCAGGTATCTGCTTCCCTAGGATATGTTCTACTTCTTCCAATTTGTAATTTGCACTATAGATTTATTTATGTGGAAAATAAGTTCTTGGAAACTATAGATATATGTTTTGGCTTTCTTTAAAATGTATATATGTGTTACTGAGAATCTAACTTGTGTATATGATTCACTATAAAATGTTATCCATGTTTTCCTGTGGTGTTTGTACCCTTTATTTTTATTAATATGGTAACCTCATGGAGCTTTAGTGTTGCTTAGTTTCTGTTTTTATGTGTAATGGTAGTTATAGAAAAACTTGCATCAACTGTGTAAAATACTTTTTTCTTTAGCTGGTACACCTGATGATAAAATGAGACTGTTTCTAATCTTCTTTCTTTGTGGACCACAAATGACTGATGTAAGTACAAGCACACTTGGTGAAGTAAATATCAAATGCTTAATTTTGTATAGTTATAATGCATGTTTATGAGGAAATACTAACAGAGTTAAAATTAGAAAATTTAAATAGTGCATATTCTTGAGTACTTATTATTAGAATACTTTTTGATTAGTTATGTTAAAGTGTTTATAACACTAAACTACCAGGAAAAATTAGACAGTTTGGGTTTTTATTGAGTTGATGATGTTCTATAATCAGTGTTATAACTAGACCTGATGTAGTACACAGTTTATAAACTTAACTGTCAGTTAAAATGAATTATTTCTAAGTGTAATTTTAACAGATTTAAAGTAAGGATTTGCAGTTGTGGTAATGAGACATTGCAATTATTTTTTAGTTGAGGAATATAAAAAGCCTGTCAGAAGGGAAATGTTCATACATAGAGATTGTTAAATAATGTAAAGCCAAAAGACAGAATAATTTGAAGAAGGAACTTCATTAGCCTTCATAGAGGCAGAGGAACTCCCACAACAGAGCATTTAGGACAGCAGTGGGTTTTGAAACACCTTAAATCAATCTGGAACAGTTCCTTTACACACAAAAAAGAGGCTATGGATATGAAAGAGAACCCTACAACATGGTCTTGGAATCCAGAGGTATTGCTAGGTACTTAAAAGATTTGGGGCCCATAAACACCCCCCCCCAAAAAAAAAATTAGGTGTTTCAACACAATTAGGTATTGCAGAACACAAAATAAAATATGTTGAACTATGCTAGTGAGATGAAACAAGCTATATGGTATGTAAATTTAAAGTCACATAGTAACTGTAAATTTATAAATGCAAAATGATCCTGTAAAAACACATAATTGGACATCATACTTTTAAATATCAAACTTTGTTTTTGTATATATGACATAATATAAAATGTTTACGTAGAAATTATTTTGGAAGCATCAGTGTATATCTCCTGTTTTGTCTTTTAACAAAGCGGTCAGTGACAAAATCCTCAGACACAGATTCCAGCACACTTTTCTCAATCAAAAGCATTGTAAGGTGCTGTAGTCTAGTTTGTCCCATCTTGCTTCTTGGCCACGTGTGTAGACTGAATGATCTTTCACAGTTACAGGTACTTACTGGGATAGTTAGTGCAACTTGTGCCATTTTTTTAAGGTTGTCAACATGAGAGGGTCTAAAATCTGGTACACATCTTCCATGGTGAAAGTTTCACCATTCTTTTGTTTATGGGCTAAGTAATTTTTAGCAGCGAGTACTTCTTTGGGTTTTAATTCTATTTTGTATTGTTTAACAAGTGAAGTTAAGTCCTATACAAAGAGAAAGTTTCATGACAGCAGACCACATGCCTGGATTCCTATCATTAACTATGCTTTAATGCTAGAAAACCACTGGTCAAGTTCATAAAGCATGCGATCTAAACAAGGATAGAATAATTTCGTCCTCATCTTACATCCTCGCATACACTACTTGTAGTTTCAACCACAAAATCATCCATGCATTTTTGTTTTTCTCGTTAATACTGCTGTTTCCTGGATGTCAATGCCATTGTTGATACACAAGGCCATTGCTTTTTCATATATTTCTTTTGCCTTTTCATTTGTTCTCATATTCTTTAAAGTGCTACATTCTGCTTTTTTAAAATGACTGCTTTTGTCAAATCAATTCCTTCTTTATGGAGCTGCTAATGGAAACCTGTTGCTCTTAGGAGAAAATAATAACATAAACAGGCAGTAGGCTATAGGCAATTTGTACAGCTTTGCAAACAGACCAATGACTGTTGGAGACTTCATTTCCAAAATGCATTGCACAATAGGTGGGAAGTTTGTTATCAGCACATTCACCAAATGTAAGTAGCAAGACCAGTGTGTATCTGAAAACTGTACCAGTTCACTTAGACATTGCCAAATCTTTGTTCATGTATTAGCAATGTAGCAAAAAGGTGTATACACTTTCCAATCTATTAAAAAAATCAGCAGTTTTTTTAAGTGTAACAGAGCACCAGGTTGAGTTTATGGGCATAACAATGGACATAAGTAGCTTCTGGGTGATATTTCTGAAACCTAGCATGAATACCACCATTTATTCCACTCATAACAGCTGCACCATCATATTGAAGATTGTCTAACTCGTTGACTCTTAGGCATTGTTGTATTGATTCAGTGATTGAATCTGCATTAAAATCTTTTTATTTGCTGAATCCCAGAAAATGCTCTTTCACTGAACTAGTTTCCAGAACAACATACTGTAAACAGAGGGCTAACTGCTCCTTATGTTTGTGCCTTGTTTTGTCTGCTATTATCTCAAATATTCATGATTTCTTCAATTTACTGATTATGCTGCATGTCACTTGTTCTGAACAGCACTGAATAACTTCATTTTGAGGTGAATGGGAAGTATAGTTACCATTGGCTGGTGCTTTGTTGTTTTGAAGAAATGAGTCATCAGTAAATTCAAACACACTATAAAATTTCCTCTGTTTTTGCTTTCTTCAGTTTCATCGTGGCCTCTGAATGGTATTCCTTCTTTCCCAAGAAATTGTGTGACACCAACAATGTGCCATAAATACTCCTGTCTTTCTTTGATCTCATTTTCATTTGCTACTTGTAACTGTTCCATTATATCGCCATGCACCTTCCCATCTCTGAAGGCTGCCCAAGCCAGTATGCTTGCCTTATGAACCACTGCTTTCTTATACTCTGTAAAGGAATCTATCCCTCTGTTCCAGTTCTTGAAGCCATTATTAATCAATGCATCCATGTTACATCTGGTGTGTTTTGGCCTTAAGTTTTTGCATACAAAACAAAATGCAACATTTTGTTGAACAGAGTATTCCAACAACCTGTGCTTTTCAAACCAGTGGTATTGAAAAAATCATTTTTTTTTACCCGAATTGTTCATAAGGTTACTGCACTAACCTTGGCTGCAATGAGCCATTTTCAACATTTCCTAAATCAGATGCTTCACAAACTGTTCTGAAATCCACTGGCCTGACATTTGATGCTTCTGTTTCCTTACTAGAGCCTTCCTCTGCACCTGAATGATCACCCTTATTGAACTGCTCCGCATTCCCTGTTTTCTCTTACTAACATTGCTTTGATGCAAATTTACTGGTACAAAATTGCCTGACATCCATTCCATACAGAGAAGGAAAATTATTTTTAAGCACGAACAAAACTTAACACTCACTTAACAAGACATTGAAATGAACAAGATTAACCACTGAGATTCGGTTTTTTACTAATTAAAACTATGTCCTAATTTATTAAATAATACTGTGTTCTAATTTAATAAACAATAAAAATCATCAACTAATTTTGCCAAAACTTATTTTATCAACACTAATTTACCAATACAAATTTGCCAACACTATGCACTAATCCTGTTATTACCTAACTAACAATTATTGAATAATAAGAAGGCACAAAATACTAAAATAAACTCCCTAACTCAAAATTTCACACTTAAAATTACCTAATAAATTTGTATCAAATAATGCAATTATACAAAACAAATATAAAATTCAGAAAAAGGTTTAGATAGAAACAACTCAGGAGAAAACCACATCAATCATTCATAAAATACAGAATTAAACAGGACCTCTTACATCAAAACCATGGTGAAGAAATGACCGTAGCACAAACAAAATTTCAGCACTCCAACACACCACCACTTTATCCAACAACATTTATGAATTACACCAATTTTTGATTGTTCATACTTGCGAGATCACAAAATAAAGCACACAGATATATGCAGTTCATTGCCAAAATTTTCATTTGACAAGAAGACCTCTCAGATGGCTGAAATTCTTCTTTATATAGGGTCAAATAACTTTTATCATGTTTCCAGATTGTTCTACTAAGTTACAGTCTTTTACTGCACACTGCAGAAATGCAAGTTGGTGACACAAAAGCCTAGCATGACCAATGATATTTCTCTTTTTTTTTGTGTGAGAAGAATAAGGCTTTGTCCTCACATGACTTGTTCTGAAGGCTGCCAAGTTTGATGCTTTTTTTGTTGAGTTCCAGATTCATGGGAATTTTTGGTGTTTCAGTAGGATATCGATCATGGTTTTCTTATCTGATTTTCTAAGACACTAACTGGGGATTCAGGGCACTGTCAAATAGAATCGGGGCATGAGCCTTGTGCCAGTGCCTAGCAACATCTCAGTTGGAATCTGACATTTACATCTGTTGAAAGTTGCAAAGATGTGTGGTCTAAGATTGACCTCACTGTCCTTTGCAGGAGCTTGTTACAATGAAAATAGTGCATAATCATGACCACCAGACTAAGCATGATCAATAATGCAGGAAGTAGTTCTAATTACTGCATGGAATTTAGCACATCATCCTTATCGAGTATGATAAACCTCTGTGTCAGTGCCTCTGTAAGTTGTTTGGCATTTCATTGAGTATGAATTTCTAAATTTCTTCTTCACCAACAGTTGTTTATCTTGCATATTATTTGTTTGACAAACTATTTAAAAGTTGAAACCTCACATGTAATTTTAAAATATTTAAATTTTTTAAACTTGATTTTACCTTTCTACATTTCATGTTCAAGTATAAAGCAGTATATTATTTGCAAGCTTTTGTCAGTCACAGACTTACAAGAAGGCTTCTACCTGCAATTTTTTAGGGAGGGTTACCTAACTAAGCATTTGTTTGTAGCAGATAAACTGGCAAAATAATGGATATGCAGATGGTAAACAATGGATTAATATAATCTTAATGTGTGGTTAATGTGATTTTAATAGCGAGCTAAACTTGACTTACTAAGAATTTAAAAGTACGTTGTAAGAATTTAGAATAAACATTAAATTAATGTAGCAATGAAAAGAGACTGCATAGTGATTCATCTTGTGGTTGGATAACAAAGGTCTTAACCCTTTCATGACTAGTGAGCATCTTTCAAATTCTGAGTGCACATCTGCATATAAAGCTTCAAAATTTAAGTAAAAGTAATAATTCCAACACAGTTTGAACAATTTTTAACTCGCAAGCATTTTAGAATTTATATTTTGTCGTATTTTATCATTAATTTTTGTGTAATTAATTCATAATGAAAGATCTTTAAAATTCAGACTTACACAGGAGGCTTGCATATAAACAACACATTTACTGATTTTTGGAATTTTTTTACCCATTCCAAACCATAGGTTTTATATTTGCTAAGAAACTATCCTCCATTGAGGATATAATTATTCATGTTTGTTTTTTCATGTGGTTTTCATTTTCTTTCACTGATTTTATGATTACAGCATCTCATACCCACCTTTTTTATGATCTTACAATATGTGATCTGAACAGCTATTAATAAAGCTCAGCTTTGAAAATAAACTACAGATAAAGTTTAAATGCCATTGATTAGAGCAGTTTATAAACTATTTACATCAGTGTGGAGTAAATAGAGTGATGTGAGAAGTAATTTATATTTTTGTAGGAAAATTATGAGATGTAGCTCCTGCAAGGATGAACAACAGAATTTATTGGGAAGTTTCGAAGATTTGGACAACCAATAGATCTGAGAATTTTGCAATAGTTTAGCTATATGTTATTTTTGTTTCTGAAAATGTTTTTGTGTTAAATTATCTCTCTTTGAAAGTTTAGTAAGTACAGTAAGCAATGGCAGAATCAAATATATCAAATCCTCATTTATTGAATATTATCTTTTTAAGTTTATCATTTTTAAACAAGGCACATAAATACAATAACTTATTGAAAATACAGTAGTTATTAGATATCAACTGATCTAGACCAAGACTGTTGTTAATTTAACACTATTTTGAAAATTCATGTCCTAGGTCACTGATATATCTTTGTCAGTTTATACAATATTTTTGTGATTTATAACTGAAGTGATGACTAGCACAGCTGGCAAAATAAAGTATTAAAAGAAATATGTTAATGAAAGTTAATCAAGTTTAAATTGACTAAATGAGTAATATTAAAGTTTTTGATCCACAATAAAAAAAAAATTTTTTTTAAATTTCTCACAACCAAATTTTGGGAATTTAATGACAACACATAATAGACAATCTAAATCAAACTATATGATTTTTTAAAGCCTAAACTAGATATTATATAGTAATTTTGTTCTAAATTTCACACAGTTTGGCTAAGTATTTCTAAATTTGTTATCTTCTCACTCTAGATATCAGTTTATTTCAGTGATATCTTATAAATTTACTTAAAGTTGCGATATCTTTACATTATGAGGATATAAATAAATCTGGACTTTTGACAGTACTTAACCAGTATTTTTTTTTATACACATATAACCAGGCAGAGGTTGATCAGTATGCCACAGCTCTGAAAGATGCAGGGTGTGACTTGGGACCACTACAGTATATGAGACGATGGAAGTAAGATTTTTAAGCATTCAAATTATTTTAGTTATAATTAATAGACTATTTAAATTTTGAATGTATTTAGCTAATTGGTTACATTGAGATTTTAAAATTACCTGAATTAGGGAAACAAAATAAGAAAGACATTTTTTATAATAATTTTTTGATCATTTATTCATTAGGTTAGTTATTGTGCTTTAATATTAGTGTTGCATGTTTCACTTACTGTGATCACTGAAGTGTAGAATGAACTGTGAAGGCTACCCACTAGTGCATGTGAAAATACCAGTAAGCTTGACCTGAGACATACGTATGTAACAGTATGAACATGTTTACACCTATTTGTAAGAAGAGGAAAGGCATTCAGTCAGCAGCAGAACCCAACAACCCACCAGACTGTCACACAGCTAAAAGTTCAGGGAATATTTTGTAGGATTGCCTTGGATTCAAAGTCAGCTCGCTAGTTCCAAAATCCAGAGCTCCGCTACAGACTCAATTCACACCCAGGGGACTTAAGTAAATACTAAAATCAAATAATTGGCTAGGACTTATGAGAAAATTAGAAAAAAAATGGGTTTGTAGATTTCATAATTTCAAAAAAATAAATTATAAAACCTAACTTCCAAAATTAGACTGTTTTTAATAAGTAAGTTCCATACAACATAATTCAACTTATGTCATTTAAGAAATAAATTTTCTAGCATAAATTGAGTTTTAGCTATCTAAGAATTGAAAAATTATGCATTTCTTATATATAATAGTTGTCCAAAGCTGAAAGTACCACAAGTTTTAACTTCAGGAATCCTTTTTGTTGTGCATCAAACTCTTCCTGATTTGATTCACTTTATCATTCATGTCTAAAGTTGCCTTTGAAAACTTATCTTACCACTTCAGGATGTTATAACTTTATATAGCTTAAGCTCATAAGTTTCCACTCATTGAGTGCTAATTTGTCCTGCAGAACATTTCAAGCATGTACTTGTTCACCATGCAGGGTGTGCATTCTTTGTGAAACTTGTTCTTCACTTGTATTGTTTTTATATTAGCTTGGTAGTTATTTCTGAACCATAGTGAACAAGTGGAGTCCATTTGATGAAGAGTTTATTGATAATCTACACAGAGAACATGGGTCAGGGATGATTATTGATGCAGTTATATGAACCTGATGCAAACTATTATAAATGCATCAAAACATTCTCCAGAATGATTGTCCATAAAAAGTGCTTTTTATGAAATACTGTAATTGTTTATTCACTGTTTTCATGTTGTTGACTGTGTGATAATTTCATGTATGCAGTATTTGTGGTCATTCAATTCAAATTAAGTTTGAAGATGGTATGATGATATGTTATTCAGTATAATTGGAGAAGATCTAACTTAGGAAGAGAAGAAACTAACTAAAATTTGATTTTTTTTTAGGAGATTGTTGTTTTTTATTAAGTAAAAATTATATATATATATTTATTTATTTTATTACTCTAGAGCATACCATAAGATGGTCTTAAACACAAGTCAGTATGCTGGCGGAGGAACTAGAACTGTTAAGTAAGTATAACACTTTTATATTAGGATCACTTGAATGATAAAATTCTAAAATTGCTCATAAATATCTATTCTTTTACAGCTCAGAAAGTATGCAATCTGTATTTCTTAAAATTATGTACATGTTATATTATACTTTTGATGGCAATGTTTGAATGTTAGAAGACAGAAGTGCTAGTCCAATAGACTAGCCTTCTTTTAACCCTTTTGCGACGGGCTCAGTATAAAATACACGAGTTCATATACACATTTACACGTGAAGTATTTATACTATAACTTTTATTGCAGTATGTATATTTTCAAAAAATTTGGTAGACTTTTAATAAAGGTTAGAGGTTTTCTGTACACAAAAAATCAGAATTTTTAATGAAGCATTTTTACTAAAGATTTGTTTGTGAAAATATTGAGTCTGTTTTGTTACTAGTCCAGGTGTGAAGTGTTTTTCTTGTTATGATTAAAAACTATTCTTTGTCCCAAAAATCTCAAATATTATTTGTGTAAATTCTAAAACCTCCTAAATACAATTCAAATGTTTGTTTTCACTAAAACTTTATATTTTTTGTTATTATCTCTACCTTAACTATATGGAGTCTGTCAATTTGACTGACCTTGTACCCACAATAAACAATTAGGAAATAAATATAAGTTATGCTTTTTTAGTTCTAGAATGACTACAAATTATAACACGAAAACACAAATGTTTAGTCTAAATAGCTTAAATCTCATAAAATTATACATTTATATATATTTATTATTTTTATTATATTGACCTTCCAGTCGTGCCTGACTAACATTACAGAAGTTGCAATGACGTGGCGTACGTTCACTCATGTTACCGTATCCAAGATTATAAAACTGGCTTTTACAAAGTGTTTTAGTGGATTAGTATTTTGTAAAATACAGTCACATATCATTTATAATCCATTATATATGTATATACATTATTACTATTTACAAATAAGTTCTTAGTTATTTTTCTTAAACATAGAACAGTAAATAAAGAAGTATAGCAAACTATTATCTCTTATAGTTACAAATTTTGTACTTGTTTGCTGCTTACCATTGGTTGCTAAGCCCTATCAAATTCCACACATGGAGGATGTGAAACGAAATAGTTTTTTTTAGGTTTTTTTTATATACATTTAAAATAACCAAAAATAATAAATTACTACATCATTACCATAGAATTCCACTATAATTTATTAAACTTAGTAACTAAACTGTATTTGGGTCTAAAAAGATATGAAATTTCAAGCCAACTAAAGACTCAACTTACCAGCTTGAAATCTTGGATCAAAAGAATGAGGTGATATCATGATACTTCAAAATAGATAAAAACCCACCAGAGGGACATTCTGAGCTTTCAGTTGGCTATTCACATGTCATAGACAGATGTTCGTGTACATAAGGAAGTGTTTCCAAAAATGGAAAGATAGGGGTGGGGCCACTGTGTGTGTTTAAGTACATTAGCAATATCTCAGCAAATAGAAAAGCTAGGAGGCTCTTATTTTATATTCTAGCTTGTGAATATCAGTAATTTGAGTTCCTAATTCGTACAAAATTATAGACTTTGTATTTGGACATCACATACATATAATTTGAACCAATGCTACATTGAACATACCACATGACACACAAATAAATATTTACTTTTAAATTAAGAAATTGACTAATGTATAATACTAAAATTTGAATTATAATCTACAATTTGATACCAAACTTATTGACATAAATTCATAAGATAGTAGTTGAATAACATTTTGAATGCAAGTGAATAAACCCGATGACATGGCCTTTGACCATTGACCTGTGGCGACAGGGTTAAAATGTAGTATCAGTGTTTACAGTGTATTGTTTTACTTTAACATTCTCATTCTGTGATTACAAATGGTAGCTAATATATGTCTTATTGTAAGAATGTATAACTGTCCGATATAAAATACTGTTTAGTGTAGGTAATATTATTAATTTATTTATTTTGTGTTTGTAATTCATTGATGTCGAGGCTATCGAACATTGTGTTTGCAACCTATTGATGTAGAGGCTATGGAGATTTCTAGAAGTCCCAAGTGATAGACGTATAAATAATGGGGACCAGATGAGCTAAAACAGAGAGTAAAAAGTAAAGTCACAGGAAAGAGAAGTTTGGTGAGAGAAAAGTTGGAAAATGCAAAATTAACTGTCATGGGAGTGAAAGGCCTAACGGTTGATATGTTAGAGTGAGATAAATAGTTTGAATGAGATAAGGAGAACAATTGGTCTTGTCAAAGGGTGTTCTAAGCTAATTGAATCCACCAGTGTGGACTTGGACAAAAAGCAGATGATTATTCGGAAGCACAAAAAAGCAGACAATTATTGGAAGTACAGAATATAACTGCGTTAACTTACGTGACAGCGTAAGTGAATTATGTATGGATACTATTGCGATGAAAATAGAGAAAAAATTATACTGCTTCTCAACTGAATTCTAGAACAATTGAATTAACCTAAGTGGACTTTTAACAAGGATAAGAGAACTGTATAGTGTTTAAGATACAACTATGATCTCCAAGGTGTAAAGAATTTTATAAAAACATTCAACTTGCTTTGAATATATATATATATATTATTTTAAAAACAAGTGGAGTGCGTGCTGTTCATTTATTATCAAATCTATCGCCAACAAGTCACAAACTCCAATTGTAGAAGAATCCTTAGCCCAACACACCTATATATTTAACTTACTATATATACTATTAAAAAGTAAGTTCCTGACAATAACTTACATGTGTCATCTTTTGAGAATGCAGCACTCTTTTACTGTGTTATTAACATAGCTACTATGTGTATTGTTGGTGGAATGCATGACTGTTTTATTGTTTATGAACACAGCTAACATGTGTCTAGTTGTTAGAATGCATCACTGTTTAATTATCCGGGTAAAACGTGTTTTATTGCTAGAATGCATAACTGTTTCAGTGTTTTATGAACATAACTAACATGTTTCTTGTTGGAATGCATGACTGGTATATTGTTTTATGAATATGGAAGATTCTACTAAATAATTCAGAAGATTTTGAGTACTGTACAGTAGAATGTTTGTTTTATTTCTTGAGTGGAATCTCTTTGGATATTCTTCATTACATTTATTCTGAGGTAGTTTTTACTAGTTGTGAGATCATTGTATGTTTTCATAGTCTTTCAAAATGTCATTGATTCATTCCTGAAGATATTTTTTCCTTTCAGCATGTTTTCTAAACTATTGTCCCAAGGCTCCCAGTTTGTAATGGAAGGAGTGAAAAACATTGCTTTGAAAAAACATGTAAGTCATTGCCCAGGAAAAACCATACAGTAAAATAAATGTATTATAATATTTAATACTTTTCAATTGCTATTCATATTTAATTATCAGAAGATAGACTTATTCGGTGAATAATTTTTAGAGCATATTCATAGTTTGCTATGTTATTAATAATGCATTTAAAGAATATGTTTCATTTGATGAAAATTGTTAAATTTATTATTGTATAATAATTTGATACATATATGTTAAAGAATTGCTCTTATGATTAAGTTTATAATGTATTATATTTTTAGAACCTTCCTATTACAAGAGTTGTGGATTCATTGATGGAAATGAAATCTTTACAAGAGACTGATGATTATCGGTATTTTGATCCCAAACTTCTCAGGGTAACTGATAGGTGAGTCTCAGATTAAGGTAAATATTTAAGTTTGTATTAACATAGCTTTTAAGATTATGTTTAGTTTGGGTCGTTCTGGTGAAGATCGAAGCAGAAAGTTTGATGATAGTGTATCATACAGGGGGTAGAGTAAGTTATATTAAAACAATTTGGAATATGCAGATCAGTAATCCACATGGCAAACACAGCTGATATAAAGTTATGGTGAAATGACATGTATCACAACTACATTTGAGATTTTTTTATGTTTTGTAGGTAATGTGATGCCACCAAAAATTGGCAAGGGTAGTTAATAACCATTTCTGGCACAAAGTATCTATACACTCAAATCTTAAAGGCAGGGATGTAGGATTTCCAACACAAGGATATTCCTTGTACTTAATTACATTAGAAAACAAAGAAATGTGATTGAATTTGGAGCACCAGACCCATCCAAAAAGAAACTTACAAGAAGTTGTACCCCAGCTGTGTGACAAGAGAAAATCCATGAACACACAGTTTAGTGATAAAGGCCCTCCACATGCACCAAGCAACAGTACACAACATAACCAAGAAGAATCTCCATTTGGAAATGCAACACAAGTCGTGTACACAGGTTGGTTCCATGAAATATCCTGAAAAGGAAAACGAATTGTAGAAAGCTGTATAAACAGTATTTAACTTAAGAACAATAGCAGTATATGGTGACATTCCATAAAGCATATCTGTACCTTGGTAATTTTAACAAGTCTTGGGCCATTTTCTACCAGTAAATGGGGGAAAATATTTTCAAAAGTGGTACACGGCATGTTCCAAAAATACTTAAAAGGGATTCATGGTCATCTCTTGATATTATACTAGGGGCAAGTTAAGGATCATGAGAGTGGATATGAAGGTCAAAGTGACTTCTGTCTACTAACAAACCAATGTTTTGGACCATTGTACACACTGAAATACAAGTTTTCTGTGGAAGCAAGGCCAGTAAGGTCGACAAAGGTAAGGCTTTCAGTTATATCTTTCTTTCAAGTGTTGAATACCTCAAGCAGCTTGAGAATGAAACAGGTATTCATGCTATTCCATAGAAAGAGATATCGTTTAAGTTGCCAGACACAGCACCTATGGGTTTCTGTGCAATTGAACTGGGTGGATAATGGGTGCTGGGAAACTATTATCTTTGTACACTAAATGGATTGTGGAAATAAGGTAAGGAGGAGTTGTGTACTTTGGACATTACAGAACGTATAGACATTTATGCAGTGAGGTCTGTGTTTCATGGCTATTTTCAAGATGCATGGTAACCAAATAGAGCATGATTAGATGCAGAGGCATGGACTGTAGCAATGTGATGAGGCTCTGAAATGGTTTTAGTATAACATACTCAACCTCTGTATATTGATTCTTGTGTTAGCTTAAATCACAATAACAAGAGTTTTTAAACAAACAGTTTGCAGAAAGAAATGTGGACATTGATTTTGTTTTTTTCTTTCAGTTCTACAATTCCAAGGGATAGGAAGTTTCAAGAGGTATGTTTTGCAACTAAAGATATTATTGTCATCATAACAGATTTGAATTAACTTTAATTATCTGTTTTCAAATTGGTTTCCCATTTTGCAGTCAGTGCTGGACAAACAAATTCATGCAGTATGTTGAAAAATGTAGTATAGATTTAAAAAATAACTTTTTTATTGATATGGGATATATATATAAGCACATTTTTAACTTAATGTTGTACAGAAAGCACAAAAAAATATCTTGTCGTTTAGATTATACTAGTTTTGACTAGTTCAAAGACATTATTGGAATGGGACATTTTCTCTATCCTTAAGTTTTTAATTTTGTTTGAAGTTAGGAACATTATTGTGTTGTTATTGTGGTGCAGAATGATAAATTAGTTGAAGGAGGTGACTGACAAAATTAAGTACTGTTTTAGTTGGTGGCAAGGTAACCAAGCCTAATGGTTTTTTTTAGATAATTTGTATCACTTTCTTTTAGCAAAGCTTTGTAGTAGGTTATGTACAGAATTGTGAAGTGGACATGAGCAGTACAAGAATTTTGGCAAATTAATGTATTTTAGGTTTGTTTTGAGAAAGGTTGTGAAATCTGAAGTTACGTTAAAAGTTTCATTTTTAAATTTAAAACATTAATAATGTATGTCTAGTCACATGAACTTGATATTGTTACCACTGTGTTCAGAAATGAAAAACGAAAGCTTGAAGTCTGAAGCATACATTTGGTTTACCATTTGACCATACAAAGTGATTTGAACCTATGCTTAAAAAGTAAAAGTTCTTGATTTTACTGTTTATACACATTTCAAAGATTTATAATAAAAAAAAACAAGTATGAGATAGTTTCAAATTTATTTCATCTATTCTTTTTTTAACTCTTTTACTGCCATGTTTATAGATAAACAACTCTCTAGTACAAGATTAATTATTTTTAAATACACAATATAAACCAGAGGACATAGTTTAATATTTTATTACTTTAAACTGGTAAACTCTGGAAAGTTTGAAGGGGAATATCCTTCATGGTGGTACAAAGTTTCAAACTCGTGCATTTTTAATATCACACTTTTCAAGATTAAAACAAAGGTTATATAGTGTGTCCTATGTATTTGCCTATAGCAGTGAAAGAGGGCCAAGAAATTTTAGAAGTTTCATGTTGATACCTATTTGCTATGCCTCATATTTGAATATTTTGTATAAGAATTTAATATCTGAAAAAAAAAATTCCATTTGTGCTAGTTAAAAATATTTATTCATTCTTTCATTTCTACTCTAGGACTGTAAGACCTTTCCACAAATACTATAATTTATGTTGCTTATGAATATGTGATTGTATTGTTAAAATATGTAGCCAGCTGTTTTTACCTGTAACTTGTTTCTAGAGTTGGTCAGTATTTGCTAATTGATTAACCAACCTGTCCCATTAAACAGTTAAATTTTTTTGTATGTGAAAGACTTATAATATTGACTGAAAGACTGCCAATTTTGTGAAGATGTACACACTATGTTGAAAGTTAGAACTATTAAATCTATAAAGACTAAACGAGTACAAAGAGGTCACATGGTTGGTCACATTGACTGAGCTTGTGTTGAGAGAGTTAATCTTATTTTTGATAAATCGATTAGTTTATGTGACACTAATCAATATAGTCACTGCTCATAGGTAATCAGTTATACTGATTAAATCACCCAGCTCTACATCTTCCTTTTGGTGGTTAGCTAGATTTTTAATAAATTATATATTTCATTTTTATAACCAAACTCTTTAAACCTGTCACAGTGGGCTCATGTATTTTACATGACCTTGTAACCGTGGTAGATTACATACTATGACTCCAAAAGTACTTAATGTAACTTCACAAAAATTGACAAGCTTTCAGTAAACTTTAAAATTCTTTTGTAGACAAAAAATCACAACTTTTAATTAAGTATTTTTACTAAAGATTTGTATGTGAATATATGATGTTAGAGTTTGGACTACTCTGAGTGCAAATTTTGTTTCCTATTCCCTAAAACCTAGATAATTATCTTTTTTTTTCAGAAAACTTTGTTTTATCTATTATTTTCTATAATATAACTATAAAGAGCTGGTTGATTTGACCGACATTGTAACCACCATGAACAAATTAGGGAATAATTCTATGTTACCCATTTTTCTTTCTGGAATGACTGCAGATTATAACAGAAAGTCACAATTCACAATTATTTATTCTAAGTAACTTAAAACTTGTAATAATATATGTCTACTTATATTTAATTTTATTGTTTTATTGCTTTTTAACTGTGTCTAACTAATAATCTTGCCACAAGTTGTAAATCACTCAGCAAATGTATAACTCACATTACACTATCAAATTATGTAATGCACAAGCCACTTGCAAGCTTACCTCTTTATTTTATGTACTCTAACCTCATCTGACCTAATAAGTTTCTAATTTTTATATCTTAGTTACTCTTATAATAACAAGTAAAGAATACACATGGAAAACAAGAAATATAGTTCTTACTGAGTCTTTTGTTTTGCTGTCAATGAAACTTAACCCTACTTTTTTATATTAATGATACTACTACAATAAATATTTTTTTTAGTTGGTTAAATAATGTACCTAAGAACACAGAATAATAGCACATAAAAACCAGACAATGTCCTATGACTACTGTAACTTTTCTGGATTTCTAACTATGCAATAAGAGCCATTAAAAATTCAGCTAAGCTCATTGATGTGCTTCCCACATGAATAAAGTTTGAACAGACAATTCTCTGTGCAGAAAGCAACATAATATAATACATCTTTTGATAGATTAGAACTTTGACTTTCTATTCATTATTTATAATATAGTATGTCAGAGAGAACTATTGGCAATTTGTGAAAGAGAGGATGTGACAGGAGGGGTCTGATTTTCTAGTTTATGGCTCTGTAACTAAATAAGATTGAAGGCTATAAAAATTATGCTTTGCTTATGTAATAACAATATTATTATGAGTAACTTACTTTAAATTCCATACTACTTCGAGGGGTGGTAAATAAATTAGAGAAGAGGGAAGACATAAAAAGCAAATGTCACAGTTCTCATACTAAGGGAGATTGAGGATTTAATATTTCTTTATAAAATTAAAACTTAAAACTTGTATAATATTAAAATATGATTTATTAACTATGTTTTGATGCCAAGTTTATTTGTATACATTAATAATAAAGTAGATATAATAAATTGTGAATGTAACTCTGTAAAATGTTGTGACATGATCACTTTAACTTACCCGATGCAAAAGGGTTAATATTACCAGTGCCTTTATCCTTGTTAGTAATTCTAAAATAATTCTAACACCTCCAATAATACTGTGTAAGTAACCCATAAGTATCATCTGTACTTCAAACATGCAAACCAGGAAAATAATTGAAATAACTGTTAGTATTTAATACACAAGTTGGACTAATTTGGTATACACACCTTGACATTCTGTTAAATTACACTATATTATTATGTGAAACTTAACTTGAAATAATATGCTCACTAGACATTGTATCATGTTTTCTGCTTTAATTCTCAGTTCAAATGAATACAAGTCCACTTAAAAATTATGATTCACAAATATAGTACAGTAAGAACTACAAGGGACCTCAGAGTAAACCTAAGATAGTTTGTTTGTTCTCCTGAACAATTGACTAAATGGACCAGATTAAAACACCAATGATTCAGATATAGTTCCTTATTTTGAACTGTAAACTAGAGGAAAGGCAATCAGTAAGCAGCACCTTCCATCTGAAGTAGTTAATCTTAATCAACAGCAAGATTGAGTGTCAAACTTACAATGCACCCACAGCTGAAAATGTGAAGCATGTTTGGAAGTACCATGTTTCTAATCAGAGATCCTCAGGTCTCCAGTCTGATCACTAAGTCACAGTCTTGCCAAACTAATATAGATTTGTAGTAATCAGGAAAGTCGGAAGAAAACAAATTCCGATCCAGTACATTACCTCTTCTCACATAAATAGTTATTATCGTTCAGTGCTGCCTCTCTATATGCAAAAAAAAATTCACGAGCCTTGACCCTCACGTACCTTACATCGACTGATTCAAATCATCATGCGATAACCCTCCACCAATAAGAGTGCAACACACTCTCTTGGAGGCCAGGTGGTTAGGGTGCTCGACTCGCAATCTGAGGGTCGCGGGTTTGAATCTCCATCACACCAAACATGCTTGCCCTTTCAGCCATGGTGGTGTTATAATGTGATGGTCAATCCCACAATTCGTTGGTAAAAAGAGTAGCCCAAGAGTTGGCAGTGGGTGGTGATGACTAACTGCCTTCCCTCTAGTCTTACTCTGCTAAATTAGGGAGAGCTAGTGCAGATAGCCCTTGTGTAGCTTTGCACGAAATTCAAACAAACAAACATTCTCTTAGTGCATGTGACTCCCTCACTTCGGAGGTTATATGTTCTATCAGCACACTTACACAGGCTTCAGGTGACGGTACTCCATGGGGAAATTATTGGTTTTACTTTGTCGAGAGACTGATTGTCCAATGAGCTGAACTTTGTTGGGCCTTAACTTGAGTTTGGGGCTCACACATTTTGAAATACAGTCCGCCAACTTTGGAAAGATAAGATGTTATACTGTTATGGTTTTTGAATACTTTTATTATTAATATTATTATCTGTAGTTATTTGGGTTCCATAACATCAGTTTTGTTAGATTGTCAATACTCAAAGTTAAGTTCAGGTTCAAAATTAGGCTTAATTGTATCCTTTATCCTATACCATACACTTAGGCTTACCATGGGTCTTTGTTATTTTAGGATTACTTGTAATTTATTTTACTGGTATATCAATCATTAGTTTTACTATATTTTTTTCTTCCATACATCTCGTCTCATACATATGTTATTGTTAATACATACTTACTTAATTTCACATAATAATGGTCTATTTCATTTTCATTATTATTTGTCTTTTATACTTCTTCATATTAACTTGGTTTATGTGGAACCCTTAAGCTGGAGTCTGCACAAA